CGCCGCAAGTGCAGGCTCCTTGAGGAACTAGAGGACGCATGGCAGCCCATAGACCCCTACCTCATACATGACAAGGCCACCGCCCTGCCCAACGCCACGGGCCGCGGCAGTGACAACCTCGGCCCCCTGGACATTCGCAACTTGCCGTTCCAGGCCAAGCAGGACCTGGCCGATTTCTTCAACCAGTGCGAGAGGCAGATGGCGTGGCCGTGGCAGCTCATGAGTGTACTTGTAGGCATGCTCCCGAAGCCAGACGGCTCGGAGAGGGGTGTCGCATTGATCCCATGGCTCATGCGCTTCTGGGCGCAGATGCGTAAGGTCATCGGGGCCGACTGGTGCGCGGCCAAGGCAGGCCACTGGGACCAGGCCATCAAGGGCAGCAGTGCCCTCCAGTGCGGCATCTTCCGCCTGTTCTGCGATGAAGTCGACGACGAGCTGGACATACACTACGCCAACGTGATGTGGGACTTCGCAGAATTCTACGACAGCGTCAACCCCATCATGGCATTCGAGGCGGCTCTCAGACTCGACTTCTCGCCCAGAAAGCTTGGCATGGCGGCGGTCCTGTATATGTCGCCGAGGATGCTGCGCTCCAGGGGCGCGATCGCGGCACCCATTCAGCCCACGGGATCGCTGTTGACAGGAGACAGCGATGCAAATAATCTGGCCAGAGCGGTTTTATATGATTTGCTCGATGATATCCACCGCCAGTTTTTACCCAGAGGTGTCAGATCATACCAATGGGTTGACGATATAAACCAGCGCGCTGAAGGGCCAAACCATGTCCTGGCTCCTGTCCTCGCCAAGGCGGCCTCCGTTTTCTTCCATGGTGCCCGTTCCCTTGGCCTCGACATTTCGGGGAAGTCTGGGGTTATCGGTACCGACATCGATATGGCCAAAGCAGTTTGCGCTGAATTTAATAAGAATGTGCCCGAGTTTAAACTTACACCCAGTGCGGTGATTGCTGACCTTGGGCTCGAAAGGGGGTCCAGAAGGCAGAATAAGATCAAGCACAACAAGCGTGTCAGCCAAGCGTTCCGCCAGCTTTCTAAGTTTCGCAAGGTTTCTAAGTTTAGTCGCATCCGCATAGCCAGGCGGAAGCTGACCCTGATGTCTCCCGTTCCCCGCATTGCCTACGGAGCTATGGCTACAGGCATGGCCCCGTCCCAGATTTTGAAGGTTCAACGCGCTGTGGCGGGGGCGTTAGGGGGTCGCAAGGCTGGACGCTGCCTGACTGCATACCTGGCGCTTGAACTCGGGAATCGCAACCCAGGCATCGAACTTAGAGTCCGCCAGCTGCAGACGTGGTTTCAGTTTATCACCCGTGACAAAGACAGTGAGCACGTCCTTCCCAGACTCGCCAGAGCTTGGCCCAAGGTGGCCAACCGTGTCGCCCAGACCCCGAAGACCGACCGCTGGAGACATGTCCGAGGACCGATGGCGGGGGCGGTCGCGGCGCTTCTGGATGCGGGTTGGACGGCCACTGATGACACGTTTTTAACTTGGTGCTCACCAGTCACAGACGACTGGTGGCGACTTTCACTGCAGTCTGGCGATATCGACTACGAACCTTTTCTTGAAGAATTCACCCAGAGCCTGTGGAGCCAAGCGTGGAAGCAAGCTAGCCAGCACTACTTGGGCGGGGGGCTGGAGGGCGGGGCGGACCTCTTCTCCCTTCGGCAGTCCCTCCGCACCTTAGACAAGATGACCTCCACAGCTGCTCCAGGCATCAGGGGTAATGTTATGGCCATGGCAACAGGATCAACCTGGCCGAGGTCTAGGCTTTGCGAGGCTGGCATTTTCGGCGAATCCGACTCCTTTTGTGTGCGATGTAATGCCAATCAGCCAGAGACTCCTTTTCATCGATCGTGGCAGTGCAGCGCAAATTCTCATCTGGACGTCTGCCGCGAGACGGCGGACCTCGAGCAAGAGGCCGCCGAGGGATATCAGCAGTTTCCTTGTTTTTGGCTTCGAGGTCTCATCCCTGCGGCGTGGACCGCTGTCGATCCCCCCCTCAGTGAGGCCCGCGCGTGGACCTGGCAAACCCAAACCGAGGCCATTGCCAACCTCGAGCCAGGGACCCAGTTTTGGGGGGCGGGTGACGGCTCTGGAGGAGCCCACACCAAAGACCCTCGCCTTCGTAGATGCGGATGGGCATTTACCCATCTTGCTGCGTGGTGTAAAGACCCTAGCTGGAACCAGATTGGGCCCATCAAAGGCCAAGCGGGGAACCTCCCAGGGCCCAAGCAGTCTAGCAACCGTGCCGAATTGCTGGCTCTCATTTGCTGGCTGGAGGATCTTCCCCTGGAGTTTAACCTACCGCCTGACGGCGAGTTACACTTTATTACTGACTCGGCCTATGTGGCCCGTGGCGTGTCTCGGCCCGACGCCAGCAAACCCAGAACCAACAGGGATCTCTGGAAGAGATTTAGGAGTGCCCGAGGTGGGCACCGCGTTCTTTGCCATAAAGTCGAGAGCCACGTGGCCCAAGCCAGGCGTGCCGAAATGAATTTTCCTGAGCTTTGGATCCAGGCCAACAGTTTAGTTGATACCCATGCTGACGGCGCGGCCACGAAGTTTCAGCTTCACCCCGACCAGGTCCAGAATGTCATAGACATTGAAGCTAAGGCCGCCAGAGTTCGTAGGCGTTTGTGCACCGTGCTCGAAGAAGTTATGCAGGCAGACAATGAAGCCAGGGCCCAGGTTGAGAGACTCCCGACCCTGGCCGAGCAGCAGCGAGCACCCCGCCCCAGCGTCCTGCAAAAAGCGGTGGCGACCAGTGCGCACACCCCATCCGTTGTCAAGCAGGGACGACAGGGGATCAAAGCCACGTGTTCTGTTTGTCTCGGTCGTGTGGGTGGCAGGGCCCGTGTTCTCAAATGGCTCTTGACCCCCTGTCACCCAGTTTGTATCCCAGACGGTGCTGCCCAACCCGCGGGGAGGGTCCCTGAGGCCCACCAGAGGCTACACATCGGGGGCCGATCTCCACATCCGTCGCACAATGTTGTGGCCCATGGAGACATCCCTATTTTCTATTGCAGCAACTGTGGATATTTGTGTGCACGCGAGGGCGGAGCCCTCAGGAACCTTGCCAGAGAGTGCCGTCCTGCCACTAAGGACGGCAGATACAACCTGGAGCTGATTGCTAAAGGTATCTGGCCAGGGAGCTCTGCAGGGGCTGCGGAATTCAATAGAAAGACAGGCCTTCGCCCCAAGGCGAAGGCAACGGCAAAGCGTCGATAAGACCTTGACGAGCAATGCTCAGCAATGCAATCCAAAAAGTCGTCGTCGTCGTTTCCGTCGTCGTTTTCGTCGTCAGTGTCGTCGTCTTCGTCGTCGTGTTCGTCGTCGCTTTCGTCGTCGTTTTCGTCGTCGTCGTCGTTATCGGTGTTGTTGTCGTCGTTGTCGTCGTCGTTTTCGTTCCCGCTTTCGTCGCCGTTTTCGTCGTCGTTTTCGTCTTCGTCGTCGTTTTCGTCGTCGTGGTCGTCGTCATCGTGGTTGTCGTCGTCGTTGTCGTTCTCGTCGTTTTCGTCGTCGTCGTCGTTTTCGGCGTCGTTTTCGTCGTCGCTTTCGTCGTCGTGTTCGTCATCGCCGTTTTCGTTGTCGTCGTAGTCGTATTCGTTTCGTCGTCTTCGTAGTCGTTTTCGTCGTCGCCGCTTTCGTCGTCGTCGTAGCCGTTTCGTCGTCGTTGTCGTCGTCGTCTTCGTCGTCGTTTTCGTCGTCGTCTTCGTCGTCTTCGTCGTCGCTTTCGTCGTTGGTTTCATCGTCGTCGTCGTTTTCCTCGTCGTCGCTTCGTCGTTTTGTTCGTCGTCGTCTTTTCCGTCGTCGTCGTTTTTGACGACGTCGTTTTCGTCGTCGTCGTCGTCGTCGTTTTCGTCGTCGTCGTCGTCGTCGCCGTTTTCGTCGTCGTCGTTGTTTTCCTCATCGTTTTTGTCGTCGTCGTCGTTTTTGTCGTCGTCGTCGTTTTAGTCGTCGTCGTCGTGGCCGTCGTCGGCGTCGTTTTCGTCGTCGTCGTCGTCTTTGTCGTCGTTTTCGTCGTCGTTTTCGTCGTCGTCCTCGTCGTCGTCTTCGTCGTCGTGTTCGTCGGCGTCGTCGTCGTTTTTTCGTCGTCGTGTTCGCCGTCGCCGTCGTCGTCGTTGTTTTCGTCGTCGTCGTTTTCGTCGTCGTTTTCGTCGTCGTGTTCGTCGTCGTCGTAGTTTTCGTCGTCGTCGTCGCCGTTTTCGTCGTCGTTTTCGTTGTCGTCGTCGTCGTCGTCGTCGTCGTCGTCGTCCTTTTCTTCGTCTTCGTCATCGTTTTTGCCGTCGTCGTCGTCGTTTTCGTCGTCGTTTTCGTTGTCGTTTTCGTCGTCATCGTCGTCGTGTTCGTCATCGCTTTCGTCGTCGTTTTCGTCGTCGTCGTCGTTGTCGTTGTCGTCGTCGTCAACCTTGTCTTCGTAGTTGTTTTCGTCGTCGTCTCCGTTTTTGTTGTCGTCGTCGTTTTCGTTGTCGTCGTCGTGGTCGTTTTCGTTGTCGTCCTCGTCGTTTTCGTGGTCGCCGTTTTCGTCGTTGTCGTCGTCGTCGTCGTCGTCGTCGTCGTCGTCGTTGTCTTCGTCGTCGACGTTGTCGCCACCGCCGCCGCCGGCGCCGCCGCCCGGCCCCCCGTCCGAGTCTCCAGGAAGGCCCCCCAAAAATGCCGGCATGCCGCCGCTGCCCGCGTCGTCGTCGTGTTTGCCGCCGTCGTCCTCGTCCTCCTCTTCGTCCTCGTCCTCGTCGGCGGCGCCGCCGTCCTCCTCGTCCTCGTCCTCCTCGTCCTCCTCGTCCTCTTCGTCCTCCTCTTCGTCCTCGTCCTCGTCGTCCTCGTTGTCCTCGTCCTGCTAGTCATCCTCCTCGTCCTCCTCGTCCTCCTCGTCCTCGTCCTCGTCGTCCTCGTCCTCGTCCTCGCCGTCCTCGTCCTCGTCGTCCTCGTCCTCGTCCTCCTCGTCCTCCTCGTGCTCCTCGTCGCCTGCGGTGTGGCGGCGGCAGGCGGCGCGGGCGAGCCCCTGTCGCGGCTCCACGAGGAGGCGGACGCCTTCCTGGCCGGCGGTGCCCTGCCGGTCCCGGCGCCGCTGGACCTGCCCGGGGATGCCGACCGCCTCCTGGGCCCTGCCCCCCCCCCCCGCCCTAGGCTGGATCGGACGGGGCTGAGACGAGCACACATCCATTCGAGAGCACTCCAGAGCGCTCTCACAGCGTGTTCTGGAGCGCTCTGAGAAGGCCGCGGCGCCCGAGGCTTCCTCCCGAGCGGCCGCATCTCGGAGATGCTCGATGCATCCTCACCCGAGTTGATCCTCGCCCTGGCCTCGTCTTGCTGCAGGGCCTACGGCCGGCGGGATCTTCGCTCTTAGCTACAGCGAGTCGCTCCGCCAGCTCTGGCCAACCGAGCCTCGGCGCGACACGCTGTCCGTCTTCCCCATTCCCAGGCGTCAGCGTCCCGAGTTTTGTCATCCCCCCAGCCGGAGCGGAGCGGAGCGACACGCTGTCCGCTCGCACGGCACGCCGTGCCGCGAGGGCCGCCGCCGCGGCACGCTGTCAGCAGGCATTCCCGGCCGTATAGGCCCAGGCTCGAGAGCCTCGAGGGTCGGCGTGCGTCGTTTCGCGGGCTTTTCTGGGGTGTGCCTGTGCGGCTCCTGCCGCCGCGGCTGGGCGCGGTGCAGAAGATTGGCAGGGAAGGACCCTGGGAGGGCTCTGGGGGCCAGTATCGGGTGGATCTTGGCGGATCGAGGATCTCTCTCTTTCTGTATATATATATATATATATATATATATATATATCTCCATATTTAATACATATACATATCTACATATATATATGTATATATATATATATATTTATATATATGCATATATATATAATCATATATATATATATATATATATATATAATGTTTTCGTATTTTCTTTTGGTCTCCAGAGGCCTCCTGAGTCGGGTAAACGTAAGACTCGAGTGCGCCGGAACTCGGATTTGCCAATGGTTTTTGATGAAGGCGTCTTGGATTCTGACGGTCCCGTTTTCGTGGGATGTCTGCAGCAGGAGCTCGCGTCAGATTTCAGATTGGGTCTCGTCATTTTCATGGTGGCCCAGTCCGGCCAACCCGAGTCCCCCGAATCCGAGTCTTACGCCTCCCCGACTGAAGCCTCTGGATACTTTTGGGAGTCTTGGGAGACCTCCAGGGACCTCCGGAGACTTCGGACCTCCGGCCCCGCCCCGCCCCAGTCGTCCTCGGCGTCGGCGTCGGCGTCTTCGTCGTCGTCCTCTTCGTCGTCGTCGTCTCGTCGTCGTCGCCGTCGCCCCTGTCGTCGTCGTCGCCGTCGCCGTCGCCGCCACTGTCGCCATCGTCGTCGTCGTCGCCGTCGCCGTCGCCGTCGCCGTCGCCGTCGCCGTCGCCGTCGTCGTCGTCGTCGTCGTCGTTGTCTTCGTCGTCGTTTTCGTCTCCGTCGCCGTCGTCGTTGCTTTTGCCGTCGTCGTCGTCGTCGTGGTCGTTTGCGTCGTCGTCGTCGTCGTCGTCGTCGTCGTCATGGTCGCGGTCGTGGTCGTGGTCGTCGTCGTCGTGGTCGTGGTTGTCGTCTTTTTTTTCGTCGTCGTCGTTTTCGTCGTCGTCGTCGTCGTCTTCGCCGTCGCCGCTTTCGTCGTCTTCGTCGTCGTCGTGGTCGTCGTGGTCGTCGTCGTTTTCGTCGTCGTCGTTTTCGTCGTCGTCGTCGTGGTCGTTTTCGTCGTCGCCGCCGCCGCCGCCGCCATGCAGTAGTGGTGGTGGTTGTGGGCGTCGTCGACGTCGCCGCCGTCTTCGCCGTTGTCGCCGCTGTCGTCGTCGTCATCGCCGCCGCCCTCCTCCTGCTGTTCCTCCTGCTCTCCTTCCTCCCCCCTTCTTCCTTCTCTGCCCTCCTCCCCCCTCCTTCCTTCTCTGCCCTCCTCCTCCTCCTCTGCCCACCTCCAGCCTGGGGGCGCGAGGGGCCTCCTCTTCCTCGCCCCGCCTCCCCAGCAGCGCGGGGCCGTGCCGCGTCGTTTCTCTCCGTGCCTCTCGGGCGCCTGCCGGGCACGCCTGAGGGAGGGCCGCGCTCGAGTTCGCCCTGCGCCCGCGGAGGGGGGGGGGAAGAAGAGGACCCAAGGCCGCCCCAGGTTCCGCCCAAGACGCTGAAACGGCGTTCACTTTGGGCTCAGGACGGGCGCTGGTTTTCGGGCCGCTGCCTCAGAGTTGGGTCGGGGAGCCTGTTTGTGGCCGAGGCTCGCCGTGGTTGGGAGTGCCCCTGCGCTCCCGATGCAGCGTCCCCAGTGGTAGCGCGACAGCTGTCGGAGGGCCCTGCAGCGGAGTCACCTGGGAGGCGTGTGGCAAGGTCGCTCCTTGGAGGGAGAGAAAACGATGACCATGACCAAGACTGAACGCGGAAGCGTCCGTGCCGATCTTGATCATCGTCCAATTTGGCCATCGTCAATTGGTGGACCATCCTCGCGAATCGGCGACGGCTAGCATGGACCCTGAACAAGATCGGCGTCGTCAAGATCCTGCGACATCTCGGTCGTGGCCATCGCGCTTCTTCCCTCGACTCCTTCCTCCTCCTCCCGTGGAGACCCCGCCTTCGCGCGGGCCCCGCGCCCGCGAGGGAGGCCGCCAGCGCAGGAGCTGCCGACAGCGCCACCGCCGCCCTGCCCCCCTCCCCTTGCCGCCTCCGCCGCCGAGGCCGCCGCCGCCGCCGCGGACGTGCCGCCGCCGAGGTCGAAGCCGCCGACGCCTTCGCCGCCACCGCGGACGCCGCCGCCGCCGAGGCCGCCGCCGAGGCCGCCGCCGCCGAGGCCGCCGCCGCCGAGGCCGCCGCCGCCGCGGACGCCGCCGCGGCCTCGCCGGCCTCGCCGCCCGCCGCCGCCTGCGGGCCGATCCAGCGCGCAGGCAGCTCGGGGCCGCCCGCGAGCGGCAGCAACGCACCCCGCGGCGCCCGCGGCGGCGGCCACGGGCCCGCCGCGGCCGGGGTCGACACCTCGGCGGTCGGCCAGGGCGAGGGCGACGAGGCCTCCGCGGTCAGCCGTCGCGGCGGCTGCCGCCGCTGCTCGCGTGATGTCGCGCGCAAGCGCCCTCGTCCGCATGGTTGGTGGCTTGCCGCGCGCTGGCGGCCCTCGTAAGTCAAGTCGCCGCGTAAGGTCGCTGTGCCGTCCCGTGTAAGACCCGTTTCTCATCGTCGCACATGTAGGAGCTTCATCGGCAGGCATCGCCGTCGGCATCGCCGTCGGCATCGCCGTTGGCATCGCCGTCGGCATCGGCATCGCCGTCGGCATCGCCGTCGCCGTCTGCGTTGTCTTCGGCGTTGCTGGCGTCGTCAGCGCCGTCGCCGTGGTCGGCGTCCTCGACGTCGCCGTCGCCGTCGCCGTCGCCGTCGCCGTCGCCGTCGCCGTCGGCTCGCCATGAAGGGAAGGTACCCTGAGGGAAAGGGGTCCTGAGGTGTTTTGCCGATCTCCCCCCTCGCACGTCTCCCGCGCGGCGCCTGCATGTTCTGAGCGTGCTCCTTTCCTTCCCCCTCCTCCGCGGCCGCTTTCTGCTTTTCCAGCACTTCTGGCGTTCAATTCGGCGGCGGGCCCTGGGGGGGGAAGTGAGAAGGGGCCAGCCTCCTATGAAGGCCCGGAAGTCCCCCGACCTTCTGAGCAGTTTTCTAAGCCTGCCCTGGCGACGCAGAAGGCTCCTCCGAAGGCGCGAGAGCTTCTGAGAAGTCTCGCCGCCTTCTGAGAGGGCCTTATCCTTCACATTTTCCCCCCTCGCTCGCCGCCGACTTCTACCTCCTCCTCCTCCTCCTCCTCCTCCTCCGCGGCCGCTTTCTGCTCTTCTGGCACTGTGGCGTTCCACTCAGTCGGGCGCGGCTCGGCACGTCCCCTGGCGCTCCGCGGTCCGCCCCCCCTGTCGTTACGACGGGCAGAGTGCCTCGTCAATCTCTCGGCCCTCTGGGGCCTTGGGCCCTCCGTTGGTTGCGCCGCATCTTCGGGAGACCTCGCCCGTCCCCCAAATCGGTGTCTCTGCTTGTGCCCGACGCGGGCTCGATGCGGACTCGGCGCGGATCTTGCGTGGTATCGACGCGGGTTCGACACGGACCCGGCACGGACCCGACGAATCTGACATAGATTCGCCACGGACTCGACGCGGATGCGGCCGCGACGGGACCGACAAGGTCCCCCGAGGATGCAGAATAACCTCCTGGGTCCTTGGGCCTTTTCCGTTAGGCCCCAGGCCCGCAAGCAAAAATAGGTTCCCGAGGAACGCCGCAGGGTCCAGGGCCCACTTTCCTCAGGACCCCGTGCCATCATGGATGCATCGGCAGCGCCGTCCGCGTCGCCGTCGGCGCCGTCGTCGGCGGCGCCCACGTCGTCGTCTGGAGGCACCGCCGTGGGGCTCGTGCACCTGCTGTGCCTGTGGGGCGAGTCGTTGATGCGTTCAAAGGATGAGGAGGCGGAGGAAAACGACCACAGTAAACCCGAACTGCGTCAACGATGCCGCAATACGCCCTCCCGTCCTGAGCCCTCCTTCATCAGAAAGCATGAAGCATAGTATGAAACATCAGGTCCTATCATAATCCCTTGTAACTGCGGGAAGTGCCCCCTTGAAAGGCAAACGCCGCCTGGTCCTACACTTCGGGGGAGAGCCCCGTTTGAACAGGAACCGCCCTTCACCCGTGCAACGGGTGCACAGTTTTAGATGTCTGATCACAGGGAGTGGCGACGTCTCAAACGAGCGTTCTGTTTCACAGTGCAGTTTCCCTCCGTCCGTGAAACTGTTGGGCATCTGTCAGACGAATTCGCGCGGCCCTGAGGAGAGAGCCACATTATGAAGAGGAACCGGCCTGCATCCGTGTAGCTGCTGGATGCTTGTAAGACGACTGTACGCGGCGCTAAAACAAGAGCCACATTTTGAAAAGGACCCCCCCATCCATGTAACATGGAGACTTTGACGAAGGATGTACGCGGCGCAACAGCAAGAGCTGGATTTCCCCCATCCGTGTAATTGTTGGAGC